TTATTTTATTTTCTGAAAACTAGAGTGTTATTATATATGTATGTTTAGTGGTTTATCCTTGGAATAGAAACCACTCTGATGCTTCATCATGAAGCTTCCTCAAAGATATGCTATCATCAATCATCTTATACATTTATCAAACTAATGTCATTCTTCATTCTAGTGCACATATTTTGATTGTCGCATATCATTCCGATGTGTTTTCTTTATAAGCATTTGCTGACTTAAAATCATAGTCTTTTAGTACACCATTATGATGTTAACTCTAGAGCACCTTCATTTTGATGTTATTAACTCTTTGTAGCTTTTGATGTATCTTCTGAGTAACGTTTTCTTGATATCTTTGTAGTAACTTTGGTTTAAATTTTCAAAGAGAAACATTGCCTTCATCAAGTAGACGAGTTTCATTAAGTTCTAATATTATTACTATATGCATCATGAAGAAACCATTATGAACTTCGTTCTGATCTACTTATTATCTATTTTCACTAAAACACTTGGCAGAAGACTTATTCCAACTAACTTTCCATCATCCTTGCAATTTGCATAACTAAGTATTTTTTATAACTAAAAAACCTTGGGTTGGATTCAATAAAATATTATTTTATTAGACATTATAGTTTATAAAGTATTTTGAATTTCATGTTATTTTATTATCTTACTTTGCATTTATTTTATTCATGATGGTATTTAAAAATGTTTGTGCTAAGACACTATAATAAGATAATATTATTGTGATATTATATTTATATTTATCTTTATTAAACAAATATACATCATATAAACATAAATGTAATGTCACAATTACAAGAATATTAAACTACTAGAGCTCCTTAGCACTTATTGCTCTATAGAAGTTATTGTTATCGATAACATGTTATTTATAGTTATACAAATAAATAAATAATTTCCAATTTAAGATAAATTAAGAAATTATATTTTCATAATTATTATTTCTAATATTTTCTTAAGATCATATCCTTCCCTATTAAGAGGAATTAAATCAAATCAAACAAATAAATTGTAACGCCTAATTTTGTATAATATTAAACATAATATTATATATACATATATAGAGAGAGGTTAGTAACACAAGTATATATATCATTAATATCACTATAAAATAAATGAAGATTTTGAAAACTTGTTTACATATAGTTAGTTTATAATTACATTACGAATTATTTAAAATTATTTACAATAACGTACTTATTTACAAATTATAGTTTTTCACACTCCTACTACACTATTTACATGTTAGGTTGATACAAGTTCATTATTGGATTAACGTGATTCGCCGGGTAGATAAAAAGTACATACTATTTGATTATCTATAACAATAGGGTTTTGCTGAGTTGGTGAAAAAAATAAAAGTTGATACTCCTATGCCTTGAAATGTTACAACATTGCGTCCATAGCTCAACTAGTATCCGGAAAGACTGCAGTAATAACGGAAGTGAAAGTGCTTGGCACGGTTGGTAGATTCATCTATATTCCATTATAATTATTACATATTTTAACCAAAGAGAAAAATAAGGAGTGAGAACAATTATCCAATAAATATTAACAATTACATAATATGCATAGAAATATTTAATAGTAATAAATATATATTAATTCTTTTTTATATAAAAATTTAAATTATACTTATAGTGACTAGTCAGAATAAATGAGCATTATAATAACAAATAACCAAATATTATTTCACCTTAAATTTTTATTCATTTAAATCCCCAAGGTAAACTTCCAACTACAAGTTAATTCAAACTTTCATTTATGACCATATAATAATATTTATTTGCATGAAGAAATATCAATAAGATAAGTTTAAGATATTCTTTATAAAACTATATTATAATCAATATTAACATCAAAAAACACTTGAACTAAATTACGTAAATGGAATGTATTAGGGAATACTAATCAAATAATTGACATTGATAAATATCAGAAAATAATTAAATAACACAAACTAGGAACATTTCATTAATTATTAAGAATAAAAAATATCATAGATTAAACAAGTAAATAAGGTTAGGGACACCTCCATAAAATATAACAATTAAATAAACATAATGACATATAAAATTTTAAAAAGATAAGGTTCTCCTCCCCCTTACTTTAAGAAAATGATATATCCTTGAAATACTTCAAAAGTTGTATTTTTTTTCTCTTTCTCTCTTTTCTTTTCTCTCTTCCTTCTCACTATTTTTCTCTATGTGATCTGTTGTTTTCTACCTTCACAATTTTTCAATGGCATCTCAAGCCTATTTATAGGAGAGTTTGTAATGATTACATGGTTAGGATTTGATAAAGGATTTGTATCATTTAGTTAGATTTTTACCTCCCATTATAACTTAGTTTCTTAGAGATAAGGGTTATTAATTGTGAGATAAGAGGATAAGATAACAGCTGCAGATTTATCTGCTACATATTTTTGGTTTTTTTAATAAAATAACATTTTTCTAAAAAAATAATTTTTGTTTACCCTTTCATTATATATATAAATTACTTATATTAAACATTTAAAATTTTAAATATATATATATATATATCATAATATTATTTAAAAAAAAACAAAATTATAATAAAATTAAATACTAAATATTTTCATTTTAATTTGTTAGAAATAAAATAAATTATAATATATAAAAATACACATATGTATTTATTTATTTATTTTAAATATAATAATTAAAGAATTTAAAAATATAATTTTAAAAATAAGATAATGATAAGAGAATTTATAATATTGTATTAAGAATTTTAAAATATTACATAAATGGAATAATCAATTTTCCCAATAACATATTACATAACCATGACCTTTTCATATTTTAGAAAAATAATTCATGTTCTGAAGAATGTACATGTTACATCATCCCACTGCTCCCACATATCCTACACGAATTGGTTTCAGGGTGATGTAAATATGAGCAATGAATACGTGTAAGAAGCAGAGTAATGCAAAGCGCACTACACTGCGCAATAATCAAGAAAAGGGTCAACTATGGAAACAATGTCGACATACTAGACTCATAAAGTCAGAAAAGTTATGAAACCTTAATTTTTTGGATTTTTATAAAATAATTGATCCCGTTTCCCACCTCATATTTAATGTGTTGTTCTCTTCCATGAGATTATTGTTCTGTTGGTCTTTTTTCTGTGAACACAGAAATTTCAGTTTGGTCTATAAATGAAAACAAAAGTCAGATAAATTAGCTAGCGCAAACTTTGAGTATCATGTTTTAGTTTTATACTTTTATTATTTTCCATTCTTGCTCAACTCGTCAACATTGATCATGAACTCAAAAGAATTATAGGCCGTGCGAGATGCATACATACATCCATATATATATATATATATAAAAGAAATTTGTTTACTCAGTTTGATGACTCATGCTTCGTATCAAATATCAATTATTCAACCGTTGAATTTAAAGTTCTTAATACTAAGATCAAATTTACAAATTTTAAAAAAATTTGAAAATCATTTGATATTTCATTTTATTAATTCAAATTGACGAAAAATTATAAAAACATGTTATCCGTCAATTTAAATTAATAAAACGAAGTATCAAATAGTTTTAAAATTTTATATATTTGATCTATACATTAAAAATTTTAAATTCAACGGTTGAATCATTGAGATTTGATATAGAGCATGAGTTATTGAACGAAGTAAGTCTAGTAGACTTACTCCTAGAGTAAGCAGATCCATCCTTATATATATATATATATATAATATGCCAATAAAAGGTAGTGTTTCTATCGTAAGTCTGCTGTCATCGTTAAGGTCACTACATTCGAGGTATAGTCTGCTTTGCCTTGTTGGATCATCACGATTTTGTCTTTTAAAAGGTGTCTCGGTGGATTAAGGAGGGAGAGTATTTATAAACTACCCTTAACCTCAACTCATAAGCGATGTAGGACTTTTAGATATACCGAAACAAGTCCCCTAGTCGATGCTAAGGGGCAAGAGTGGCCATCACGAGGTATTGTCCACTTTGGCTCGTTGAACCATCACGATTTTATCGTTTAAAAGGCATCTTGGTAGATTAAGGAGGGAGGGTGTTTATAAACCATTCTTAGTCTCGACTCCTAAACAACATGAAATTTTTAGACATACCGGAAGAGGTAGTTTTTTTATCATTAAAATGATAAATTTGAGATGATAACCTAATAGAGACAGGGAGTTAAACATGTCAACAATTCTCGAATTATACATCATTGTTTATTTAAAGATTAACCAAAATTCAATAGTACCTAATTTGACCAAGACATTACTTGTTAAGTTGAGAAATCTATTCGAGAAATTTTGCCTCTAACATTAAAGAGTCTCTTTAAATAAATATGTTCACAAAAAAAAATTAATAATCATAAAAAAATTTCAAATCTGCGTCACAAAAATGTTAACTCATAAAGTGTGATCTAAATAAAATTCTGCAGCATTTTGATTCTACAATATCAACATATGTCATCCTTTTTTTTGCTCTTTCCTTTCAAATTTCTTGGAATTGTAAGTGCTTACAATATTCAAATGCTATTCAGAATTTCAGTGAAAAATGTTTCACAATGTTGCCATGCCTCATATCTCTAAGCTCTAGCTCCCTATCGATATTTTCACTATCAATGATGGAGCTGATATAAGAATACATGTCGTTGTCATAACGCACAACTAGGAAAGAACCACAGGGCTTTTCTATATCCTATACGGCAAGAGCATCGGCAATTACTTGTTTCTTTATTCCTTCATTGCAAACGATTTTTGACGTAAATAACAGTAATTATATCTTTTCCCTTTCGGATGCTCAATAAGCAAGAGTAGCTTTCCTAGGTGACCTTGTCTTGAATGTAGTGCTGCACTGTCTCATGATGCACTTGACCATTATTTAATTAAGAGATAAACTGCAAATGGGGCTTTTACATCAAGTTGCACCACCGGCCATCAAGCAATGCTATAATAGCCTCTAAAGCCTAAACAGAACAAATCTTATAAATTAGCATATGTAGAAGGGTGTTGGGAAACTCAAATTCAGGTGTGAGGATCTAGCTAGCAAAAACTCCTTGTGATCCCACCAATTGTGCTAGTTAGTTGCTCATATACAAGAATGGAGACCCAACACCAACAGGAAGTTATAGTAGGAAAGGTATGTGAAATCTATGAGAAAATCTCCAACCTAGGAGACCTCAACCCCTCCAACCATGTCAACAACCTCTTCACCCAACTTGTCACCATTTGCACCACCCCATGTCAATTAGATGTTACTCGACTAAGCAAACAAGTTAGAGAAACCATCGCTAACCTAATTAGGCTTTGTGGCAAAGCTGAGGGACTTCTTGAGAACCATTACTCAACCCTAATAGGATCACATGATACCCCCTTAAACCACATGAAATTCTTCCCCTACTACTCCAACTACCTCAAACTGAGCCATTTGGAGTTCACCATGCTCACCACACACTGCACCCAAGTCCCCACCCAACTAGCCTTTGTGGGCTCAGGCCCACTTCCTCTCACCTCAATCATGTTGGCCACACATTACCTTAGGCACACATGCTTCCACAACTACGACATGGATCCTTTGGCAAATGCCAAGGCTCGTGACTTGGTCTCATCGGATCCTGACTTGTCAAAGAGAATGTTCTTCCACACTAGTGACATTTTAAGTGTGTCAAACCTCAAGGACTACAACGTGGTGTTTTTGGCCGCCCTTGTGGGCATGGACAAGAAGGAGAAAGCAAAAGTCATCAATCACTTGGCCAAATTCATGGCTCCTGGAGCATTTCTGGTGTTGAGGAGTGCTCATGGAGCTCGTGCCTTCCTCTACCCGGTGGTTGATCCTTGTTCTGATCTCAAAGGTTTTGAAGTTCTCTCGGTTTTTCACCCCACTGATGAGGTTATTAACTCGGTCATTGTTGCACGCAAGCACTCGGTGAATCAAGGGGTTTATACACCAGTGTTGGCTAGCAAATGTTCTGGGGTTGAAGGCTTTAATCCCTTCAACCATGGGAACGTTATTGAGGAGTTGACAGTTGATGAGCAGGCTTGAGGGGATCGACTTGGTGACTGGTATTCCTCAAATTAAAGCAGTGTCATGAATCTGGATCGTATTATATGATGTAATAGTGCAGTATAACTGTAAGTGGTGATTTGCATGAGGTCAAATCTCTTATTATCTTTATTATAAAAGGAGACGTGATTATCAAACGCCAACTGTATCACCACTACGAGATTATTGTTGGATAATAAAACGGTTTTGATAACATCTTTATTAGTTTTAAGTTTCAAAATCTATAAAAATTACGGATTAATTTTAGTTTTATAATAAATTTATTTTAAAAAGTTCTTATCCTATGAAAGATTGTTTAAGGGTATTTTTGTGTGATTACAATAATATTAATAATATAGTAAAAGTATCACTAGTGACACAGTGACAATAATAATAGTAATGTTAATGTTGGTAGTAATTATTGGAAAAATAGCAAACGTACAAGTAGAATAATCTAAAATACTGAACAAATATAACCTTAAGGACTTATTTGCAATATACGTATAAGTCCTTTAAGATACAACAAGATCTTTTCAGTGGAATTGAGGAGCAAACCTGACAAGAGTCTAAAGCAAGCAGAGAATCAAGAGGGAAAAGAGAGATTTCGAGTATGAGAGGTCAGAGTTGTGTAAAATAGCTAGTGAGGTGGATGTCTCTATTTATAAGCGTGAAGAGTTAGGGTGAAACCCATAACTAGTGCAAAAAATAAGGAGGGAATCCATATATACTTATTGAAAAATGTCTGTTACAGTATGAAATATTTTATTTTGCTAAATTCAGTCAACAATAGATAAAGATGATAAAAAAAAATAAGATTTATAAATTAGGTCAATGTTTCAAATGTAACAAAAAGATCATGTTTCACATAAGTCTCATTTAATTAAAATAATTTAATTAATGTAATTGAAAATAAAAATATTTTTGGATCCCATAATCATATGTGCAAAGAGACAAATTAGTGGATTTGCTTTACAATGAGTCAACGAGGCTCATTCTTATACACACAAGCCCACTACCTCTTATCTGTCTCTTTGAAAGTGTAAAGAACACTTTGATATATAAACACAAGGTTTACTAAGTTCAAGCAATGTAGGACTTCTTTTTTAAAATACACTCACATATGCAACAATTCTCCACATATTTCAAAAGAATAAAAACTATTTCATAAAAAAAAATAAGAGAGATAAAGAAAGAAGAAATCGGGTTCTTATATAGGTTGTAATGCACCGCACCTAGTGTAGCAAGTTATATGAAGTATATCTAGACTAATAATACTTAACATGCACTGAGATTAGTGTAACAAGTTATATGAACCAAAATCATTTGATGTATATTAGAGGTTTACTAATCACATTACACTCTCACAATTCTTGTTATTATTGTTGTTTTGTGCTAGTAGGTCATACGTTTGCCCAATATTCATGAATGTTTTAGAGATCTTGCCAAGATCTCATGCAAATAGTCCAACTTAACATTCATATAAGAGATTTCATCAAATGTATGTCGTAAATCATACACCACTCATAAGGGTTATGATAATCAATAGAAGTTTTATAATGTGTTAACTTTTCTCATTTAAAGCTTAACTATAAAACTTATTCTCATTAATGTAGCTCTAACATTTTCTTACATCATAGGAAGGGATTAAGATTTTTAAAATCAATTTTAGTATTGACAGAACTGATAAGTGATTTGTTCTTACACATATGAACCTTATTCATGAAATCTCTAATTGCAAACGTTGGAGTACCATAACTTATTTTATTTTTAATTGGCTTAAGTTTCATTCCTCTCGTGTTTCAAAAATCATTTTTTCTTCTTAGGGTTTTGTCAAAGGATCTACTAGGTTTCCTTCTAACTTTACATAATTGGTGGAAATTGTTCCATCCTTTAGCAATTGTTTTATCATATTATGTCTTAGTTGTATGTGTTTATTTTTCCCATTATAAGATTTATTCTTAGCCATAACTATTGTTGATCCGTTATTGTAATATATTGACACTGATGGGGTTGGTTTCATTCCTAGAGGAATGTTTGCCAAGAAATTTCTCAACCACTCAGCCTTAGTACCAATCATCTTCAGAGCTACAAACTTTGACTCCATAGTTGATCTAACAATAATAAATTACATGATTGATCTTTATGCAATCGCACCACCACCAAGTGTAAACACATAGCCACTAGTGAATTTTGTTTCATCTAAATCAAAATCCAATTAGCATCACTATACCCTTTTAGTACAACGAAAAATCTACTATACTCAATATCATAATCCATGATACCTCTCAAGTACCTCATGATTCTCGCAAGTGCTTCCCAATGATCTTGATTGGGACTAATGCTTTCATCAAATACAAAAGGCTCCCAATAATTTGGGCATATTAAGATTGAGCAAGAAAATCTCATGTATTCTTCTTTAATTGAGAGTTAATGTCACTAGAGGTGATCAAGTTTGTTTAAAAAAATTAAACATCAATAAAATGAGCAAATACTTTACACCAATATTTTAAGAAAAAATAAATGGCCCTCAAGATTTGAGGTAAAAGAAATTTAAATAAAAATAAAATATGTTTAATTTTAAAAGTAACTAAAGTACTTCATCCTTTTATAATAAGTGTAAAAATACTTAATAAATAGATGAAAGATAATAATAATTTAACAAAATAAAATAAAATTATGATTAATTTTATTTAATTGAAAGGATGCAACATAAAAATATTTTTTAAAAGATATTATGAAAAATATGAATAAAAAATATAATTAATACTACATTAAAAAATTTAATATCATACTTATTTTAAGGTTTAATTTTTTTTTTCAAATAGTTATTATGGGACGGAGGAGGGAGTATCTTGAAGAACCAAAATTACTTGAAATAAAATGAATAAGAATGAGTGTAATCAAATTTTCCATAAATGAAGTTAGGTGAATAGTAATTAAAGTTTTCCTAAAAAAATCTGATAACCATTGGAACTTGGAAGGAAGGTTCAATAAAAGACAGACACGTAGGACAAACGGTCACACGGGGTGTCACGTTATTTTCCATTCCCAATTCCAATCGCAAAGCAAAACCACAAAATCACGCGTTGCTTCCGCGACTTCTTCGATTCAGCCACCGACAGAGCCGGCGGTTTCCGATCACAATGGCCGACAAGTACAACCTCAAGAACCCCGCCGTCAAGCGGATCCTCCAGGAGGTCAAGGAGATGCACTCCAACCCTTCCGACGACTTCATGAGTCTCCCTCTCGAGGTTCCAATTTTTTTTCTCAGATCCTCTTATATCTCATTTTCTACCTTCGATTTCATGCGCCTTCTAGCCAGGGCTTTTTCATAGATCATGCTGTTTGTTCAATTCTTCGTGTTGGGTGTTTGGAATTGGAATTGGTTGATTGAGCCTGTTTTGGGAAATCGCTTCGTGTTTGGGGTTTGTATGATGGAATTTATGATTTCCGAGGATTTCAATTTGGATGGAATTTTTGAGAATTGTGTTTGTAAGGAGCTTTTGATTTGTAGACTATTTTGAATTTTGTACAGTTTTTAACATATTGTTTTTTAGGTGTGGGTTGTGTTTGTAGTTAATTGATTTTACCTGGTTGGTTCACCCGGCTTGATAAATGTATAGAGAGTGTTCTGCAGTCTGCACACGCATGATCTTTTTTCTTTTTTCTTTTCTCTGTATATTATGTAATTGTTATCTATGAAGAACTGACAAGAACACCGACACCCTGACACGACTAATGTCTAAAATATTGGACATTGGCACACAACACACTCAAAGAGAGGGACTCTAATAAAATGAGATTTGAATTAAATTTGAACTCATCGTTGATGTTATAGAACTAAAATAGATATTTTTTGTTTCCTACGAGCTCATATCCTTGCTTTTCTATCAATTTCTACCAGCCCATATCTCCCCCATCACCCCAACCCCCAATATCTATAATATTATGGTGCGGAAATTCTGTTACAGTCCAATTCTGAATGGTAATAGATACTTGAGTTTTTCAATATTTGATTGATTACAATTTTGTATATTCCATTTACTGAAGTTCCCAGTGAATTCATTAGAGGAATGTTCAGTGTTGTAAACATGTCCAACTCTTTGTTGACCAGTACTTCGTAGCTTGTCACTGGTTTGAAAATTTGAATTTGATTATTGAGTATCGTTTTTGCTGTCTTATGTTTCCTGAGCAACTTCTGTATTGTTTTCAGGAAAATATATTTGAATGGCAATTTGCGATTAGAGGGCCTCGTGATACTGAATTTGAGGGTGGTATTTATCATGGACGGATCCAGTTGCCTTCAGAGTATCCATTCAAACCCCCTTCATATATGTTGTTGACAGTGAGATTCTTATCTTTACTTCATGAACTGTCTTTTATGTTTGAACTCTGAAGAAAGCTCAATCCTGACATGCTGTAAATTCACTTTTATGCTGTCAGCCTAATGGTCGTTTTGAGACTCAAACCAAGATTTGCTTGAGCATATCGAATCATCACCCTGAGCATTGGCAACCATCATGGAGTGGTAAATAACGTTCCTCTCTAGTCTTGATTTTGTGTTGCTGGGCTTCTTGCAAGTTATTTAGTGAGAGCATGGCTCAATTTTCTCTTTCTATGGGTCATAAAGGTCATGCATTCCCCATTCTGAATATACAGATACATACAAGATTATAAGTGTTTAGTTGTTGTTACTTTGCAGCTGTGCTGAAATACTCCTTCCAGTCCTTATTATAAGACAATTTAAAAGGAAATGGTGGTTTTTTTTATAAAGCACTTTACAACTTCTATAAAATTGTGATTTAATTTTTATCTCTTGCTCTTATTAAAGATTGTGAGAGTATGTATTTTTTGTTATTGGATAATGAGAAGAAAATTTGAGAAATAAATGTTGTCTGGCTCATCTCTTAAACTCTCCAATTCTCATTTATCAATTTTATTGGTATTGGTGCATAAGTTGTTATATGGAACGATATCTTCACCACTTTCATGAAAATTTAATGATGAAGGGTAAAATTGGTACATATGATTTTCTTTTATAATTTAAATAAAAATAAGTAATATAACTACTTATATTAATTCATGTGATTTGATTAAAAATATCTTATAATATTGACCAAATAAAGTATTTAATCATGTCCTTTATAATTTTACATTAATGTTTTCCAAGTAGGATCATACTATGATTTGGGGCATAGCAGAACTTCCTCTAGATAGAAGATTGGCATCGAATTGATTCCCATGTCTCAGATCATCACGTTGGGTCGTAAAAAGATTGGGAATACTCGTCCTGAAAATACTGATCAAGCTTGTTGCATTTAACATATTCATAATTCATAGAACTAGAATGGGATGTATCTGTCAGTTTTATCATTCTTCTTTGGCACATTATCTTTGTTTTCTTGATGTATGATCATACTGGCTGAGCCCCGTAGCTGACTTTTGATTGGAAGAAAAAAGGTTCTATTTTAATCGATGTAAATATGTTTTGGCAGTGAGGACTGCTTTAGTTGCACTGATTGCATTCATGCCTTCCAACCCAAATGGTGCATTGGGCTCATTAGACTACAATAAAGAAGAGAGGCGTACCTTGGCCGTCAAGTCTCGTGAAGCTCCTCCTAGATTTGGGACTCCTGAACGTCAAAAGCTGATTGATGAGGTAAAATGTTGCTTTTTTGTTTTCTCCACAGCTTTTGTTTTCTGTAATATATTGTGCTGCTGATTGTAGTTGTTGGTTATCCCAGATACACGAGTACATGCTAAGCAAGGCACCCCCTGTTCCCCAACCCAGCGCCACAGAGGCTTCTGAAGAGCACCCTAGAAACGAGGAGGCTGAGGATGAGGTCCAGGTTAATTCCCCGAATCGCGAGTCTTTACCAGCGGGAGAGGGGATTCCAGGTCAAGAAGGTGATGGAATTGTTGAAGAACAAGAAGTCCTTGTTGCAAATGCTAACCCTGCAGGAGTTGAAGTTCCAAGGGAGGTTCAATCAAGAGTTTCCAGGAATGAGGTGCTCCAAATGTCAGATACAAGGGTTCACAATCCTAGGCCAGAGCCCAGGGTCCAGAAACCTGATGATCGGTTGTTCACATTGGCGGCTATTGGACTTACTATTGCAATTGTCGTCCTTTTGCTCAAAAAGTTCATTAAATCTACCGAACATGGGGCACTTTTCTCAGATGGATCTTAAGACATTTAGTTGCTGATGTTGGCTCCAGAAATCAAACTTCTTAGCCTTTTTATGCAGTGAATAGAAATATAGAGCTCTTCTAAACTAAAAAGAAGTTTTCTCTTTTAATTGTACTTTTATTATACTCTCTCTGTAATTATGGTAATATAAATGTGCTCCTGCGATAATTGAGGAGCAGGTCCTTTGTTTTCTTGTTTACCGTGTGGTGTGAGCTACTCCACTTTCCAAGTACCATATGTCAACTATTTGATTAATGTATTGTCGAAATTTATTGCCTGAATCTGATCATGCTCCTTCAGGCTTTTTGTGGTCTTGAAAACTTCTTTCATGGAAGTTAGGCTACAAATTTCTCGCCTACATATTCAATATTCATTACTCTTTAATTATATTTATTTTTGAATTAAATTTTAATATTTAAAAATAAATTATGAATAATTTGAAAAAACATATTTATTTATCTTAAATTTAAAATATAATTAATATATTTAAAATATCTCTTTAAACTAGTTTTAAATATAATTTATATATTTAAATATAATATTTATCTATATATAATTTATTATTAATTTTAGTTATGTACAATATAATAAAGTGACAGGTGTGTTGTTTTGTTAGTCAAATTTGTTTCTGACTGACAACTCTTTAGCAACTGTATAAATAGTTGCATTTTCTTATGCTAAATATTGAGATAATCAATATACTTTTATTTTCTAAAAATCTAGTGGTAGACTCCTTCTCTCTGCCTTGTTGCTTTGCCACTTGCTCTCCCTTTTTGGGTCTCTTCTCTATTTGCATTTTTTGGTATTGACGTTGTAGTGGCTATGATGCTCTCTCTTCTTTGTTCATGCTCGTTAAATTTGCACAATTATCTCCAAGTGGGTTCTTATTTGTTTTGGTTTTTCTTAGTTTTCTTTGATTGGTTACAATTTTGGTAATTTTTGTTTTGAAAATGGCTAGCGTTCGCGAAGACAAAAGGGGGATGGGGGACATTTGCGAAAGGGGTTTATGGTCAGGAGTTTGAGGAAGAGGTGGTGTGGGATTTTTTTTTTGTTTTTTTACTAACCCTTTTACATCAGTTAAAAGCAACCAATGTAGAAAGTTTTTACATCTAACATTGTCAGGATTAAGGTCAATTATTTAAGCAACATAAAATGTCTTTTTAAACAGATGTTATAGTCTCCCTTGTACTAATGTTATCATTTTTTTTTTAATTATTCATAGGAATTATAATGACTAGTTAGATAACTAATTAAATTAAGATAAAATAGTTATCATAGTGTACTCCATTTATTATCTATTATAAGTAACCAAAAAATATACATTATTTTTGTACTGAAATATAAGTAAATTTTAATTATTTTTTTTCTCATTTAATAGTATTATCTCTAAAATATTTCTCTTTTATTGTATGATATTTCAGTTGTACTACTTTTTATTACATTTGTAACAAAGATAATTTAGAAAAAATATTATAATATTAGTAAAATTTAAAGTAAATAACTAATTTCTTTAATACAATTGAAATTATTTTTTTATAACATAGAATATAGAACAAAAGGAGTATTTAAATCGAGACTAAATTGACACATTAATGTACGCAATACTTTTTATAACAAGTAAAAATGATTTTTTATATCGATTTTAAACTTGTCATAGATTGGACAACAAATAAAATATTAGCTTTTAATGTTAGTCATAAAAATAATTGACATAGAAAGTCTTGACTTTTCATAAGTATTATATTTTAAGTTCATGAATGTTTCTCTAGTGTACTCTTTCTCTTTCGTCGTGTTTCTTCATATACCAACACCGCACTGTTATTTCCCTCTCGTTGCATCTCTTTGCGTTTTGTTATCGCATTTTTTCTTTTTTGTCACATCTCTTCACATTTTGTTGCCATGCTTTTTTTCTCTTGTCGCATTTCACCACCACGCTCTTTCTCTCTTGCTACACCTCTTTCTCTTTTGCCTAGACCAACAACATCAAACAACACCGACACCATACCCGAAATGCACAAAAAATATAAGAGAACAATAATGAACTTGAGAGCACAAAAACTAATAAACAATTGCAAAAATGAAAGGGGAAAGGAGAATATGAATTAGTTATTAGTGGAATGTGAACTATAGGTTCACACTCTCACTGTAAATAACAAGAAAATATTTTATGATGGGTGACGATTTACCCATCATAAAATATTTCTTTCTATAAAAAATAAGTTAACATTCATCATAAAATGTTTTAATATATTTACAAATATATCACCGTATCATTTTTTATGTTGTATAAATAATACTCGATATAAAAAGTATGTTAAAATTTTTTTTTTACACCAATCACAATGTTGTATAATTTGAAACTAAAATAATGATTTTATTATATAAATGGATTCAACACATCATAAGTGTCATTAAGGTTGCCATTACCACCTAATTATTTCCATCTCTACGATATTTCAATGTGAATTTCAATCTTATGAGCAAGAATCGGCAAACTAATTACTTTCTTAATATAGTATAACATTATATAAACATATAGTATAGTATTGTAAATACTTTATTGATACTTCTCATTTTTCCTACCTCATTCTTCATGTTAATTATACCATATTATTATCACTATTAATATCACATCTACACTTGTCCCTTGTTTATCCATCCATAATAGGAACCTAGTAAGCCTCTATTTCAGGGGAGAAAAGTTTCCATTATAGGTAAATCATGGTCGACCCCAAACCCTGTGAAACAAAAACAAAGGCCAGAAACACATCCTATTTTCATCGACAATCCGGTACCCATCACTTCTCCACCCTCACAGCTTAATAAAACCCTCATTCACATCCCCATATCTCAAAATTCCACTTCCCTCTCCTCTCAAAAATTAAAAAAAATAAAAAACAAAAACAAAAACAATGAAAACCCAAATCTCCATAATAATCCTCCTATGTCTTGCCCTAGGCCCATGCAACGCGCACAACGTAAACGACAAGAAGGAAACAGCCACAGCAACACCCGAATCCTACCCTCCGATGCCGGAATCAGAACCACCCTTCCCCTACCCCTCCTCGGAATTCGGGAGCAATGATTACACATCATCATGGAGCGACGAAGGCTCGGGTTCCGAGCCCAGCACCGGCGGCGGCGGCGGCGGCGGCGCTGGCGGCTCCTACACCTCGTTCTCCTCCGCCTTCAAGGACATCCTGAAGGGCACCGTCCGCGGCCACTCCCTGACAATGCCGGAGCACGGGGACCCGAAGTCGAAGCACCAGCAGCACGCGGTGCGGCAGATATGCTCCCACACGGACTACCCCGACGTGTGCCTCTCCACAGTGGTGCCGTTCCTCGGCCACCACCTGGACGTCATGAACATCCTGGAGGCGGCCATCAAGGCCTGCTCCTTCCAGACCAACTTCACGCTTTCCAAGGTCATCAAACACATGTCGCGGTCGTCAGAGATGGCGACCGCGCTAGCTAGCTGCAAGGAGCAGTATCATGACGCGCTGGAGAATCTCCAGCGCGCCATGGACGCTATCCCCTTGCGGGACCTTGGCACCGTCACCGTGATGCTGAGCGCGGTGATGGCGGACGTTTCGGCGTGCGAGAGTGGGTTTGAGGATCTGAAGTCGCACTCGCCCATGGGGAACTCGGAAGGGTTGGTTACCATTACGGCTAGTAATTGCCTCTCCATTGCGGCTATCATTCCTTACTAGTTATGCATGCGGCTGCATGGGGCGATGAGGTTTGAATGTTAAATAGATTACGTATAGTATCGTATAGAAAGAAGTTTGAGCTTTGGTTTGGTTTGATAAGGCTCAACTATGGACATATATTTGTTTCATATATAACAATCAATGAATAATTTTTTTGCCTTTCTTTTTTATTTGTTCTTTTGTTTTTGGTTATTCTCTTTGGGTATGTGGGACTAACTAATTAGAGTCACTAGCACATAAAAACAGGAAGGATAATTGAAATAAAATTTTCATCATTAAGTTAAAACTGAGTTATACACGACTTAAAAATAAAATTATAGAAAAATTAACAAGAAAAAAGTTCTCCAAATTTATTTCCTATTTTTTCTTTTCCAAAATTACTTCCGGAGAAATCAGCCAACGGATTATTGATATGCACAATTGTGAATAATATTAAAAAATGTAAAACCGTATGCAGATTTATGGATAAGTTTGTATTGGGATATGTTTATTTATAAATAAATAAAAAAAATTGATAAAAGATATCATGTTTTTTATTTTCCTCCAAATTTTATTTTGAACAAGCTGAGAGGTGATTTAGCTCATGTATCTTTTCGATCCTAGGGTTCTAACCCTCCTTTTTTTCTATGCAATTCACCAAAAAAAAATAGTTTTTGCATTTTAATTTTGAGAAAAATTGGATAAGGGTGTTTCTATAAAATTTAAGTATATAAGATGATTTTAATTTATAAAAAAAAATCAATTTATCTTGGTTGTTTCCCTTCAAATCTTTATGAAAGTATTTAAAAAAACTAAATTTATGAAAATAAGGACGTGTGAATCTTATAAAAAGTTTGGAAATAATTATTTCAATGCCAAAGGATTTGTCTCGTGTATGCAGATATTTAAGAAAAGGGTTTCATGGTCATGCTCTTTTCGGGATAAAAAGTTTTACATTGTCCACCATTAAAAAAATCAGTGTTAGTAATTTTATAAAAAGTCAATAAATTTATCATATATTGTGATTTATAATTGGATAACAGTGTAAGCACTGACATAGTATGATGTTAGTTTAAAAGTAATTATGAGAACAATTGGAATTTAGATGAATCGTAGGGGAACTTTTTTTTTATAACTAGGAAGTATAACTTGCTCGTATCAAGTTGGTCAATATTTCTAGTTGTGACTCTATATTCAAGGCAATGATTGAACTCTAATTTTTAAAAAACACAACTATAGAGCCTTTTTTTAGCTAAGAATAAAATTGGTCAGAGTATGAATAAAATATTTTGAATATATTAAAATTATGATTATAAAGCAAATTGTAACTTTTTGGTTGTGGTTGAATGATGTAGTAAACTCGATTCTAGTTATTTTGCCCAGTTTGGTGAAAAAGGTGATAATATCTGCACTTGAAGCAGATGGAAGAGAAGAAATATATAGGAGGATGCTAAACAAATTTCAATATGCTTTATAATCATACAAAATTTATTCAATGTTCCATTGCCAAATTATGTGTAGAAAGCTCTCCTTTGATTCCTCTAGGTTCTGGGAGTTCGCATAATTGCTCTTAAATTATAGTAGCTAATGAAATTGACAATTTTTTCCCCATTTATACCCTAGAACTTGTAGAAAATGATAGGTTCTTGTGTTGGTTGGAGATCTGATAGATTTCTTGAAGATTCTTAAAGAAAGTTGGCATTTTCTTTTAACTACGTGGTAATTATACCAATGTCCGGCTAACTTTCTGGCTGAGTTCTCCCCTCCACCAAAGGTCATTGGTGGACCTTATATGTCGATAGTTCTTCAACTTTGAAAGGTAGTGGAACAAGAATAATCCTTTAAGTTCCAAATGGAGCAGCGCAATCATTGAGATTCAAGTTTTAAACCTCAATTAATCAAATTGAGTATGCAGCGTTATTGGTCAGACTACAATTTGCTCATGTAGTCAGTGTCAAACCACTGTGATGCTGCCGTAACTCACAATTGGTAATCGGTAAGTAGCAGGACCATATCAATTTAAAGAACCTCATTTGCAACGATACCACTTTTCCGTTATCAAACTAATGGCTAATTTAAAAGAATTTCACATAAAACACATTCCGCACGATCAAAATGAAGAGCCGACTTGTTATCAAAGTTGACAAGTACTAAACAACCGCAGCAGAACAATACAATAATCCAAGAAACATTACCGCATGGACCTTCGAGCTGGGTGAAATCTTGACCAAAAGTGTGTTAGGGAAGACCTGTGGCTAAAAGAGATGATTGGTGAATTCGGGATAACAGGAAAGTGTGTCACAGATCATTGTGATGGTCAAAATGTTATCACCTTGCCAATCCTCGAGTTTATCATTAGAGTAACACTACTAGAATTTCTCTTATTACATGCAACTTTTCCTGCGAATTTTTTATAAAAATTTGCAGGAAACATTATTCCTGCAAATTTTTCTGCGAAATTTTATTTGCAGGTAATACCTTCGTGGATAATATATTTTTGCGAATTTTAAAATTCGCAGGAAATTTTCCTGCGAAATTTCCTGCGAAAAAAATTCGCAGGAAAGTTTCCTGCAAAAAAAAATTTGCAGGAAATTTTCCTGCAAAAAAAAAAAATCGCAGGAAAATTCGCAGGAAACTTTCTTGCGAATTTTTTCGCAAGAAATTCTGCAGGAATATTTTTTACGAAAAAATTAAAAAAAATTATTATAAATTCTATATTTTAAGAATTCATAATCTTTTATTTTAATGCCTCATACATAATCTTTTAAATTCTAAGATTGTAGATTACAAGTCTAACACTCAACCATACAATTCAACTTGTAAGGTAAGTGTTATTCCAACTTATATACTCTTTAATTGTTTTATTTTCAATCGATGTGGGACTTGAAGATTTATTAAAATATTAATCTTATTAATTTAAATATATTTTTTATTTTTCCTGCGAATTAAAATTTGCAAGAAAATCCGCAGGAAAAGTTACTTGCAAAATTTTTCTACCATTTAGTAAACATTACTTGCAAATTTATTTTTGCAAGAAAATCTGCAAGAAACAAAATAAAATTCTTACAATATTTTCTGCAAATTTTTACCATGAAAATTTTTTTTTCCATGATTATTAAAATTGTAGCAAAATTTGTAAGAAATATCTGTAAATTATTTTTTGTAGGAAAATTCGCAAAAAATTTCTGCGAATATTTTTTTGTAGGAAAATTCGCAAAAAAATTTCTGCAAATATTTTTTTGCAGGAAAATTCGCAAAACTTTTCTGCAAATATTTTTTTGCAAGAAAATTTGCAAAAAAATAACACTTTTCTAGTTGTGGAAGAAGCATATTGGCACTGTTTGCAATGAAATTCGTTCATAAATTCTTTTTATTCGAACTAGCTGAATTTTCAATTTAAATATGTAACAAATAGGATTTCTTTGTATTATTAGAACAATGAGGCACTTCCCAACTATAACAGTTAAAGCTAGTTGAAGGAACTAGGTGAAACTATGATAAAATAGACTTTAGATAATACGTATTCCTAACATGCAATGAATTTCCAAGAATGAGTCTTATACACATAAAAGATAGATGACCATAATGAAACAAATATGTAAGCTAGTCGAGGTCCAATTTTATATGAATTAATTAACATGCAAAGATTTTGAAGTATTCATCAATCGTTATCACAAAACAAGTTTTCATGTATATAAACATTTAGGTGAATGGAATAAACAACATATATATTGATAACAAAGATCATAATTTGTTTGCTTCAAATAATAATTATTGAATCACAATGCACAATGATTCTGAGAAACAACGGAACTACAATGCTACGCTATACTAAACTAGGATATAACTACTCTAGAAAAAGAAAAAGAGTGGTCAAGAAACCATATTCAGTAGTCTCGTACATGGGAGTCATATGTGCGGATAGTGAGTGTTGTGAGATTTCAAAAGTATGATGTTCCGACCTCTACGAATGAGCTTGCCTCATTTTGTAACGTAGTTAGTAAATTGAAATGGGACGTTTCCAGATTGGAATGGACCGTTCCAAACTACTAAAATAATGGTGATTTAGTAGCCTAGAATGGGTCGTTCCAAACTACTAAATAGGCCTACGAATCTTGAACTGGAACAGGCCGTTCTAAAATGTTCATTGTGAGTTAAATTCAACTCCAGAATATGTCGTTCTGGTTTGAGAATGGGTCGTTCTAGACGTGCCAGAACGGGCCGTTCTGGTTTCAGAACAGGCCGTTCTGCACGTGAATTTTACACATGATGAAGGAGCCTAGAAGGAGTCGTTCCCCATTCGAAACGAGTCATTCTGGTCGTTTCAGATTTCTATAAATAGGACTTGTGGACAGTTGAGGAGAAATGGAGGTTTTAGAGAGAAGTTCTAAAGAGAAGAGCTCTGGACTAGAAAACTTACTTTTAGAGGATTAAAGTTCAAGAGTCAAGCTTTGGAGGATATTTCTTCTTCTTCTTCTTCTTCTTCTTCTTCTTCTTAGATTCTTGGCTTTTCGAGCCAATCTTCAAGTAAGGGAAGCTAGATTGTAGATTTTTTTGGTGATGCTTTTGTGATGAAGATGAGATGTAAATGAGATGCATGTTGTAGTTAAGTTGTGAAGTTGTTTACATGTTGTTTACACTAGTGGAAAATTAGGATACTACATCACCTATTTTACGTCGAACATACAAACACTCGACGTAATAAAAACGCGATGGCATGTTTCGTAATTTTAGTTAAATTATTTACGTCGGACCTCCTAGGGTCCGACGTAAATTTTAACATCTACGTCGGCTATGTATTGTGTCCGACATAGATGTTAAAATTTACGTCGGACCTTACTAGGGCCGACGTAAATAATCCACAGGCCCATTAATAGAAGGTGGTGAACGCTGGTGCTTGTTGTTGAGGTTCAAGTAAGAGATTTCAAAAATTTCTTTCTCCCGCGCGTTGTGCAATGGAGGCCACAAGCGAGAAATCCCTCCACCTCCTCCTCAAATAGTGGCTGCCCTCGCAGTCAGAG